TGAGAGGGTGGACATGCTCTTTTTCACCCGATCTCTCCTTCTCTAGTCATTTCCTGTGGTTTCCTCCCATTCCCAGTGCAGAACCGGGCTTGTTTTGGTGGCCCCAGGCTCCCAAGTGGCAGTGATATTGGAGATATTGCAGGTGTAGACATGGGCCCCGTTTGCTCTGCTGAGCTTTCTCTGCCTTCTCCTGCCAGCGCACGCTGCTTGTTTGCGTATCTACGACAGCCAATGAGGCTACTCTGTACTAGTGACTCTCACAGGCAGGTAAGCTCCACTCTAGTCTCCCATCTCTAGTAGTGAACTTGGTTTGGTTTCCCACCACAAATGGGATGTGACTGGTCCTCACTACCCTGGAGAGAGATGCTTCTCTCCCTCCTTCCTTTCTCCCTTCCCATACTGGTTGGTTCTCTAGTTGTTCTACTAGTTGATGAGAAAGGAGTGTTAGCAGTGCCAGCTGTGATTATGAAATTATTTCTTCCTTAATTCTGTCCATTTTTATTTCATTTATTTTAAAGCTGTTACCAATGCATACATATATGAGAACATAGATTCATGTTTCAGAGTTTTTGTCCAAAGCAGAATCTTGCCTTTTAAAATAGTCTAATAATCTCTGCCTTTTAAATAATGTTTAGTCCATTTACATTTAAAGTAATTATTAATACAGTTATGCTTACAAACAGTTACAGCTGTTTGTCCTTTGTCTTGTCTAATTGTGTTATCCCTGATCCTCTTTTTCCTATATCCTTTTGAATTAGTCAAATATCTTTTGGATTCCACTTTATTTATCTACTAGCTTTTTAGCTATTCTTCTTCCCATAACTTTTTAGAGATTGCAGTAAGGGTTACACTGTAATACCGTTAGAGTATACATCCTTAATTTCTCAGTCTGTTTGGAATTAATATGGTATCACCTCATGAAAATATAAATATTTTGCAATTTCTTCCCCCTCCCTGTGCCATCTTTATAACAGTTTTATGCATTATTTTTGCATACATTATAAACTCTTCCAGATGATGGTATATATTTTTTGCTTTAAACTGTTAGTGTTTAATAAAATAAAAGCAAAAGAACTAGGCTTTTATATTTTCCGAGGTATTTATCATTTCCGATGACTGTCATTCCTTCCTGAAGATCTGTTTCCCTTTGGTGTCATTTCCCTTGAACTTGAAGAACTTTAACATTCTGGCAGTACGGGTCTGCCGGTGACAATTACTCACAGTCTTCTCATGTACCCAAGTGTCTTTATTCCTTTTTTATTCTTGAAGTATATTTTCATAGGGCATAGGATTCTGGGCGACAGGGTCTTTCCTTTCCCTAAAGCTTTAAGGATGTTGTCCCTCTGTCTTCTGGCCAAGAAGACTGCTGGTTTGGGGATTTCAGCTGTCTGATGCACCCCATTTCTAAAGCCTGCCCTTGGCCCCCAGACCATTCTTGTCTTGTTCAACCCCCTCTCACCTGAGATCCTGCCCACTTTTCTCACGCCCCCTCTCCAGAACCTCCAAGTAGTTGCTTTTATTTTTCATAGTTTACAGTTATTATTTGTGGGAAGGTTGGTCTGTTAGAAGCTTACTCAGCCATACCAGGAGTGCAACGCCAGAACATGTTTTAAACTTCTTCTGCACTGCTTTCCTTAAGCAGATTTTAAATAGAATACTAAAGAAGTGAAGTCATTACATATATTTTATAAACTTATTATTTACAATAATAATGCATCTGAGGGGCAGTTAGAAGGTGTTAGTGGAGATTCTTTTTGAAGTGCTGTTTATTTTGACTTCTACAATCTTACTTTTTTGTGGTTCCCAGCTTTTTCTTTGAAGATGTTTTATTTATTTGTTTTTAGAGAGAGGGGCAAGGAGGGAGAGGGGAAGGGAGGGAGAAAGAGAGGGAGAGAAACATCAATGTGTGGTTGCCTCTCACGCAACCCCTATTGGGAACCTGGCCTGCAACCCAGGCATGTGCCCTGACTGGGAATCGAACCAGTGACCCTTTGGTTTGCAGGCCAGCACTCAACCACTGAGCCACACCAGACAAGGCACCAGCTTTTAATTTGCTGGTTCATCTTCCTGAGGTTTCTTTTGTGACCTCTCTATTTTTTTGTTTCTCCTTTAAACATTGGCTTCAACTCAACTGCAGTTAGTGTTTTGGTTTCATTTAAATAAAATGATTCCTACTTTCCTGAGAAATTTCAGCCACCTACTTGATTTCAACTACCAGATGAATGCAGATGGCTCTTACTTCAAAATGTCCAGAATTGAACCTTCTTCACGAATTCCTGATCAATATCTGCCATTTACTAGAAATATCCAACTGGAATTTAAGCACATGTTGTGGGTTTTTCATCTCTTTAACCCCTAACCCTTTTCTTTCTCTGCCTCTCATTTATTTATTCCCTAAATTAATAAATCTTTACTGAGCGTCCCACATTGCTTCCAATGTTACACATTTAATACTAGGTGCAAAAATGTCTGGATTTACATTTGAGTTGGTGACAGACTATAGACTAATAACCTTATAACTATATAAGATACTGATAAGTGCTACAAAGAAAATGAAGCTGATTAAGGGGATGAAGACTTGGTGGTTGCTTTTCTTGGTAGGTTTATCAGAAGAGACTTCTCTGCCCTGGCTGGTGTAGCTCAGTGGATTGAGCGCAGGCCCAAGAACCAAAGGATCGTGGTTCCATTCCCAATCAGGGCACATACCTGGGTAACAGGCCAGTTCCTGGCAGGGGATGCATGAGAGGCAACCATACATTGATATTTCTCTCCCTCTCTTCTTCCCTTCCCCTCTAAAGATAAATAAAATCTTTAAAAAATAAAAATAAATTTTAAAAAAGAAACAATTTCTCTGAAGCATTGATCTATATATATAAAAAAGTGACAGAAGCATTTTCCCTGTGTTGCCCTTGTTAATGCATGGGGGTCACTCTTCCCCAAATAACCTAGTCAAGAAACCAACTGTCATCTTAAATTCAGTCTGCTTTCTTGTCCCTCACATCTACAGGTTCAAGAATTTCCCTTATATATCTTACCGCCTTAATGTATCTTTTCCTCAGCTCCAAGTGTCCGTCTCTGCTAGTAATACATCACATAATTCCCATTTCTGCTTTTGACATTGCATCAGGCTCTGTAAACCTCTCTGGCATCCAGGCTAACACTCCCCCACTCTGTCCTCCTCAACGGTACCAGAGCGGGCTTCATAAAGTAAAACAAAGTAGGTCATGTTACAATTCCAAATGATTTATCACTTTCGCAAGCTACTGCATGAAGTTTCCTAGTAATGAAGTCCTCAAGGACGGAGTCCCTGTCCTCACTGCTTGCTCTACCTTATACCCCAGCTCCTAATACCTGTGTAGAGTCCATTCTCCTGCAGGCGTGCAGGCCATTTTGCCTCTGTTTTCCATGTTCTTTCTCACCCCACTACATCTCTTAGAAACGTGGCATCATCCCCTTCCCACCAAACATTTGGAAAACAACCATTTGAAAACTTTTAAGACGGCCCTTCATGCCCTGGGTTGTGTGGCTCAGTGGATTGAGGGCCAGCCTGCAAACCAAAGGGTCACCGGTTGGATTCCCAGTCAGGGCACATGTCTGAGTTGCAGGCGAGGTGCCCAGTAGGGGGCGCATAAGAGGCAACCACACATGGATGTTTCTCTCCCTCTCTTTCTCCCTCCTTTCCCATCTAAGAGATACACAAATAAATAAATCTTAAAAAAAAAAAAAAGACTGCTCTCTAAACAAGCTCACTGGTGGTCTGTGCCGCTGTTTCACGGCAGCTCTGAGGTGCTCTTGACCCCAAACTAAAATAAAATGACATTAGTATCTACCACAAATTCTCTTTCTATGTGTCCAAACAACACCTTCCACCATTCCTTCCCTGTTGTGTCCTGCCTCCTCCGTCTCACCTGAACTAGGTACATACAGCTCCTAAATGAAAGGATGCTTTCTCTGGGCATCCGAGGACTACGTCTCCATCTGCCATTTCTCCCTCCCCCTCACTTGCCTGACTCCTATGAACCCCTCAAGATTCAGCTCTTTCTGCTTTCTGAACTGCATGTCACCATGAATTGTAATCACTGCTTTACACTCTTTTTATCCCCAACTTGACATACGTAGCCAACTGGATGTTCAGCCTATAGTGTGGATTTTTCATTCCCTTTAACTCCTGACCTTTTTCTCCCTCTTCCTCTCATTTATGTATTTGCTTTATTCACTAAACTAATAAATCTTTCTTGAGTGCCCCACATTGCCTCTTTGAGAGGAAGTTCTCTCAAACACTGATAACATTCAGTTCTCTCTCTGTTGAAATATTTAGTTATTAGCACCATGTCTTAGCATTAAGTAGATGGTAAGCCAATATGCAGGTGATGAAAGAAGTCATTTTTTATATTATATTAAAATTAGAATAGACCTAAACACAAAGCTTTTCTATGGAAAAAAACAACCTCTTCACGTCTCTCCGTTAGCCTCCTGCTTAGTTTCCAGTGCACCCTGTGGGGGCAGACCCATCTCTCGGCCCCACAGTTGTTCCTTTGTCTTATCTTTGAATAGCGCTTAATCTGTTTCAAATAAATATTTGCATCTAATTCCTAAAAGATTTTTCAAACATGAACAGGTTGTTGTTCCTAAGTGGAAAATACTTTTTGCCTGAAAAATTACATTAGGAAAACATCAACTTTTCTCCAAATATGTTTTGATGTAGCAGGATAATTATTTTATCTCTAAAAACAAGCATTCATCAAATATGTAACTACCAACCACTGTTAAACCTGGAATAAAAACATTAAAAAATCTTCAAACACAGATGGCCTAACTCGTTTTTTCTCCCAGTTTTAAATTTGATGGCTTCCTTTTGCAAGTATCTTTAGGTGGCACACGCACAGTAGACACAGAACTCTTTGATTACTCATTTTATTTTCATATAAATTAACATTCTAAAAAATTGAAATAGAAACACTAAATACAGTATTGCACATAGCGATCTTTGTTAAATGCCCTATATTTTCATTGAAGAATATTAATATACACATCGGAGGGAGTGAAGAAGACAGGAAGGCTACAAATCTACAACCAAAAACCCACTGATGTTTCTTAGCACTTAAATGACAAACTAAATGGTAAATGGTCGTACTTTACATAAATACATAGTTATGAGTCAGAACATTCTCTTTTTGAGTTGCTTTCCATAATTGGCTTGCAATAAATTCTCCTCTGTATTAACCACCATAACCCCCACACCTATTAATGTCAGCTAAAACCATCACAATGCGTCATAAGCTGACTGTAAGTATCCTCAGAAGAGTAGGAGATTTAATTTTCCCCCCACACCATAAAATTCTTCCCTAGGATTCTTCAGATAATGAATCACTGCATACCCATTTCGCAGCTTTTAATCACCTGCTGTAACACATAGAGACAACCCCAGTATATGACGTTAAAATATTCAGGCTGGTGTGTTTAACTAACAAGTTGCTGATCTATCCAAGAAGTTACTTTTTTTCCCTGGCCAAAAATGAGTCATGTTTGGCAATTTTATGAGCATCATTTAGTTAAATTCCTTCAAAAGACTGAGTCCTATTTTCTTTGTGCAAAGCAATGGCATAGTTACAGAGACGCAGGCCTTTGGTTTTACGTCCTTCTGCTACAGATTAGTTTTATGCAGGGTCTCCAATGGACAGTCTGATAAAAGCCCTCAATAAACAGAACTCTGATGTCTGCCTATATTCAATGATTCACAGGAAAGGGGTTTCCTTCTATCTATTTTTTCTACCCATCCCTTGATGAATTAAAAAAATGATCATCTTCTTTCACAAACATATTTATGGAGAGCAACTCCAAAAGTTGGGAAAGCCTCAATTATGACACATGAATAGCACTTAAAGTTTAGAACAGAAAATGTATACGTAGATGGGAAACCGATATAATTCACTAGAAATAACATTTTAACCATAAATCTAAATGCAGCAACGTGGAGTACTGGCTGTCGGTAGAAAGGAAAGAATTGTGCTGTGTACGGAATATTCTCACAAAGGTAAACTTTAGGGACACGTGAGCATGTTCGGAATTAATGCGGACACCGCCTCTTACACATGCGGTTTCGGTCTCTCGGTAGAATACCAAAAACTTTTACAAAAAGGAAAGGTGTCAAATTCTCCACTGGTCTACTGCTTTTGCATTTGTATATGAATGTTCAGTAAAATTCAACCATTGGTGAACTGTCTTGAAAACACAAAGATTATGCAAGAGGTAAAGAAGAAAAATGATCAAGATGATGTAGTTTCCTTCCCGCCTTCAGGTCAGCGGAACGAGTTGTAAGTAGTTAGAGAGGGGCTCGTTTTCCGTTGCTCTTCTGTATTCATGTTTTCATGCTTATCTTTGCTTTCTGAAAATAAATGCGCCAGATAAGAGTTATAGTTAGAAACAAGAAGTTAAAAAATGTATGGAGTGTAGAGTAGCCCAAACAAGACCTTTTTGGTCGGATCCCATTCGCTGGGAAAGGTTAAAGAGCAACCAGCCCATAAAGAAAAAGACACACAAGTAGAATATGTTTTCATCTTTTAGAATCTTCACCAAGACCAACCAGTAAATATTCCCAAGGAAAAAACATTCTCAAAATTTAGTTTCTAATCGATGTAAAACGGTGCCAACTCAACTTTCTCATTCTCGGTTTTATGTACAAATCCGTGAATATAAAAACCGAATCGCTCTTCCATTTCAATCCTTCTATCAGCATAACTGAGGTTCACTGATAAATAATTATTCCTCCTCATTCAATCCATTTTAAATTTGTACTTTAATCAAAAAGACAGAAAATCAAGTAAGCCATAACATACTACTTGTCATGACTTAAGAATAATTTTGACACCTAGAAACTGAGAGGGAAACAGCTTTTATTTTTTTAAATTCTCACATTTGGTTATTTATTTACTTAGGTAGCTAGCTAGTTATTGTGCTTAGCTCATAGTTCAAGGCGCTCATGGTCATGCCATCCTGTCTTTTTAAAGTTTTATTTTTCAATTACAGTTAACATTCAGTATTATTTTGTATTAGTTTCAGGTGTATGGTACAGTGCTTAGACAATCATACGATTTACAAAGCGATCCCTCTAATATTTCCAACACCCACTAGGCAATTTACGTAGTTATTGCAGCATTATTACCGATATTTCCTACGCTGTACTTTACATCCCTGTGACTATTTTATAATGGCCAATTTGTGCTTCTTTTTAAAAAAAATTTTAAAAAGATTTTATTTATCTTTTAGAGGGGAAAGGAAAGAGAGAGGGAGAGAAATACCAGTGTATCATTGTCTCCTGTGCATCCCCTGCTGGGAACTGGCCTGCAACCCAGGCATGTGCCCTGACTGGGAATTGAACCTCGATCCTTTGGTTTGTAGGCCCATGCTCAGTCCACTGAGCTACACCAGCCAGGGCCAACTTGTGCTTCTTAATCCCCTCTCCTTTTTCACCCAACCCCTCAACCCTTCCTCCATCTGGCGGATGTTCTCTGTATCTACCGTCTGTTTCATTTGTTCATTTGTCTTGTTCTCTAGATTCTACAAAAAAGTGAAATCGTATGCTATTCATGTCTGAATTTTAATCCTTCATTTTGTTTATGTTGTGTATCACGTGAACTGATTTGTGAGTATTGTACCAACCTTGCATCCCATTAGCTCGTGATGTACGACATTTTTAATGTGTTGCTGAATTCAATTTGCTCATATTTTGTTGAGGATTTTTACATCTATGTTCATGAGAGCTACTGGACAATAATTTTTTTTGGTAACGTTTGTGTGGTTTTGGAATTAGGATAATGGCGACCTTGTGAAATAAGTTTGGGAGTCTTCCCTCTCCTTGAATGTTTTGGAATAGTTTGAGGAGGAGAGGTGTTAGTCCTTTTTCAAATGTTTGGTAACACTCACCTGTGAAGTCATCCAGCTCAGTACTTTTGAAGGGAAAACAGTCCTTAACTGAAGTCATAATTCATAACTTTTTCTAAAGACAGCATTTAATCATATAAAATTTTGGGTTGTTTTCATTCTTTTTTCATTTGGACGATGTTAGACTAATGCAATTCAAAATCCTCCTATTTTAAAGCCTAACCTAATTTTTCATTTAAAAGAATGTCATTTACTTGCTCTGTGGCACCAACTAATAATCCCCCAAAATACACAACAAAACATTCACAGTATGATGTGAAAAATCTTGTCATTTTCCCCAAGTGACCCCTCCCGGGGTGCAAAAGTTGGCATTTTGGTTTTTGAGGAAGAAGCGGGCAAGGAGGAAACTTAGAAGACCTTGTTAAACTCTGTTTATTGACTGACAGCTAGTAAGCGGCCAACTGTATACAGCCGTGTATGGGTACAAACCAGGTGTGAGCCCTCTGGTCTTCCCAAAGGACAGCTCTGCACTTGGCATTGCCCATTATGTTTTAATCCCACGGCACTAATGCAATTAGAAGAGCCACTCAGGGTTCAAGCACAGCCCCATGCTGTGACCATATGCAATGAAGAAAGGGAAAGATCACCCCTCCCAAATCCCACCTACGCATCTATATCCACATATAAGCACTCTGTATTTACCTTAATTCTTAAGCTTGGAGTGCTGAATACTGGGATTCTTTTATCCTTTTGGGCCTAATGAGAGGCACCAAGAAGGGAAAATTCTTTAAGTGAGGGGCTCATTATTTATTCAAATGCAGTAGAAAAATAATTAAAATGTTGTATGTTCTTATATATTGTCAACACAGTATCTAAAAGTCAAAGAAAATCACAGGTTACAGAACAGAAAAGATAGATACTTACGATTCCAGAGTCGTGTCTTGGTTTTATTTTATACAGTGATTTTCCCTTTTTCTGCCTACACACCTCTTCAGCTTCTTTAACTCTGGGTGGGAAGAGAACACACACATTTGAGCAAAGACCCGCAGAGATCCCATCAACCCACCTTACTGTCCCTGAGTAAGGCTCAACTCATTATGGATTTGATTTACTGGAGAAAAGAATGCATAGAAACCTTATCTGACATTTGGTTTTAAAACACAGAATGTTAGAGCTAGAGGCCAATTCTCCCAGGGGTCCTTAACGTAAAATCAAAGGATGTAGAAGGGAATAGTACACCACAGATGAGCATTTTTAGGTGTCTATTTCATCCTATATTAAAGGAGTCTTGTAGACAAGAAAGTAAAGAAATACCCCCCATTTGCAGGTGAGCCTATTCAGACTGGCTCTACTACATAACTAGGTTGGGCACTATAACACAGACCAGAAGCAGAATAATTAAATTACCAGCTTTTTGGATAAAAACTTCAAATGTTTATTTAAAATGATCTCAGATGCACTTTCCACATCACACCTCTGCATGCATGAAAGTCATTTGCAATGAATACTTGGGCAGTTTTTGAAAAAATTAAACTTCATCAAGCATGGGAACCAATCATTTCATTGAAAACTGAGAGTAAGCGATAACATTTTACGACTATTGGGATTTCTTTTTAAACACACACTCCAAGGGAAACCGTACTGAATGGGCCAAAGGTAGAGTTAGAAGAGTCGTTTGGAGATGAAGTTCTGCATGGTGTTTTGGCTTTGCTATGAGGCGTTGCGTAACATCCTCCCAGCGCTGATTCTTGTGTCCCCTCAGGAGGTAGAAGGGACCAATAACATATTATCACTGCACAGAGTTCTTGCAGAGATAAACATGATTTAAGAACTTTTTTCTCAAATTTCAAGTACGATAAACAGTTATCACAATTACTTTCAATATGCCATAAGAAATCTACAAACTGGAATTCTATGAATAAAAGGAGGTCCCATAAGAAGGAAAGCAACCACTCAGGTTAATTATATTTTGTTATTATGATTTACCTTGGGAAGTAGAAAGGTATTTCTGAAGAATGTAAACAGGCCATGACATCTTAATATAAGATTTTACAGCCCTGCAGGTGTAGCTCAGTGGATTGAGCGTGGGCCTGCAAACCAAAGAATCACGGTTCGATTCCCAGTCAGGGTACATGCCTGGGTTGCAGGCCAGTTCCCAGCAGGGGACACATGAGAGGCAATCATACATTGATGTTTTTTCTCTCTCACCTTTCCTTCCCCTCTAAAGACCAATAAATAAAATCTAAAAAAAAAAAAAAAAGATTTTGCATATAGATCTTGAAACCTACTTCCTCAAAGAAATAAATTGTAAATACATTTTTTGAGTCCCATGGCAAAAGAGCTAATGAGAGAACTCATTTCCTACATAGCTGAGTGACTCCCTGTTTTTAAATAATACAATGGAACAATTAATCCAGTGCAGGAGCTACAAGGTCAATGTTATAACCTTACAGAGTGACAAACGAAAGTAATTCTTCTAGGACATAAGCTGCCCGCAGGATTGATACTGTTAGTAATTCCCGAAAATGATGACAATTGAGAAGACACTCCATTGTTACCATGTTTATTACTTTCTACCCAGGCCATAAATTGCCTTTAATCCTCCCTCCAAACATTTGAAGACAAAAATATTTTCTTTATAACAAACCGAGGATTGCAGAGGCGCCATTTGTCCTGAAACAACTATCAGTAAATTTAAGTCGCAGTATTTGGACAGGGAATTAAGGAAACTTTTGTTTTTAGCACTTAGCCAAAATTCAGTCAGTAGATCTCTTAAATTTACTCAGAGCACTTCAAAGCATTGTATGACATTTATTAACATCTACTTCCCAAGTATTTAGATCACCAAAGCATCTTCATTTTCCCACTAGCTTATTTATCTTGTTCTTAAAACCCATTTTTTTTTGCGAGGATCACAGGGAGCCAAGGCTCACACACACAAATTTACTTTCCACAAAAAACAAATGCAGCCTTTCCTCACAGCGCAGGTGATGGCCACTTGAAAGAATGCGCATTGGTGAGCCCTCACAAGATCTTTGCACTCACCCATTTATGCGACAATCATCTATGGAGAAGTAGCTTCAGGCCAGGCCCTGGGTCCGGCTCAATTTTGCAAGGACAACTACATCCACTGTCTAATAGGAAAGACACACACATAAGCAAGCAGACTGCAAGGGTGCACTGATCACCACTGCCCCGGTTTGTAGAGGTCCAGCTGTGTCCCAGAGGAGGTGACCAGGGGTGGCGGACGGAGTTATGGGAATCATTCTGGGGCAGGTTGGTGGCTGAGCCTTGTTTCAAAGATGAATTCTAATTTTTCATATGTTTCTTGAAGTGGGGGGATGGTACTGAGGGCAAAAGCAGAGTACTGTATACAGAGTAATAAATACAAAGGCCAACACTTAAGAAAAGCCACAGGATCCCCACACTTCTAAGAGGCCGATGTTCCCACTGGCGTCCTGGTTTCTGATTCAGTTTCTTATGTGTAGGACGGCTGGTCAGTCCCTGCAGCGAGAGCACCTCCAGATACACAGGTGATCTGGGAAGCTGGGACGTCTGACCATCAGAATCTGGAGCAGCTACTCTTCAGAGTCAGGAGAGGAGTCCCTAAGAATTTACTAAAATGCAGTTCTGCAGGGCCCTGGCTGGCTAGCTTAGTTGGTTAGGGCATCATCCCAATACCCCAAAGTTGCTGGTTTGATTCCTGGTCAGGGCGCACACAAGACTGAATCCATGAATGCATCACTAAGTAGAACAACAAATTGATGTTTCTTTTTCTCTCTCTCTCTGAAAAAATTAATTAAAAAAACATTCTTAGAAATTCAGTACCCCAGGACCCCTACTCTTCTATATTTTGGTTTAGTCCCCTGGAAATGCATTTATAAGCAGCACTCAGAATAATCTGATGTAGGTGACCTGTGGGTCCCACTCTGAGGGACAGCACTCTGGAACCGAATCCCGGACTGGGTGACCGCACTGAGGCCCCGGACAACTACACTTCCTCACCCCTCTCCACTTCACAGAAAGACTGTAAACACAGGGGTCACAACCCCAGACCACAAGGAACTGCTCACTTCAGCACTCTGTGAGTCCCACCCCTCCTAAGCAAACGTTGCTTCTTTCAAGTGCCAATTTCATTTCAACAGAACTCTGACGACAAGACATTTTTTCCATACTTTAGGCAGGAAAAAAAGAATGGGTCTCCGGAGGGCAGGCGCACTGCCAGAGTCGGCAGGGGTTAAGAAAAATAATGAGGGAGAAGCCGGGGCGGAGGGCCCAGGCAGGCCGTCCACCCCAGGGTCTCCTCCTCGGCCTCTCTATCTGGGCGATGGCGGTGGGGTGTCAGCGGCAAGCTCAGGCCTCTTGAGTAACGGCTCGTCTGCGTTCCACCCTCTTTCCTTCCCGCCTCATCCCTCATTCGCCGATGCCTCCAGCTCCTTAAGCCCAGCAGGAAAAAGATGTTCATCTCACAACCAGACATCAAAGGTTTTAAGTGAAAAGGAATGGCGGTGATGACATTTCAAACAATAAACAGAAATGACCAATATGTTCTGCTTGGAAAGGAGGGGCAATACTTCATTTATAAAGAAATACAACCTTCTGTTTACGAGAAGGAGGGGGAAAGCATCGTTGGTTTGAAATCTCAGCCCGTGGCTTCTAAATGTTGCCTATATTTGAGTTTTAACCCCTGTCTGGGTGAGGTCTACGGATGCCGTGCGGAGACACACGTAGCTAACTCTCAAGCACAACTCCCAAAGATGCGTTCTCTTCAATGTGGCTGCATTCACGCAAAGGCCATGGCCAGGGCACATGTTAGTGTCCACATGTTAGTTGACACTTCACTCTTTTTTTTTTTTTTAAGATTTTATTTATTTATCTTCAGAGGGGAAGGGAAGGAGAGAGGGAGAGAAACATCAATGTATGGTTGCCTTTTGTGCATCTCCTGCTGGGAACTGGCCTGCAGGGAACAGGTCTGCAACCCAGGCATGTGCCCTAACTGGGAATCGAACCGCGATTGTCTGGTTCACAGGCCCGCGCTCAATCCACTGAGCTACACCAGCCAGGGCACTTCACTCTTTTTGAGACCTAAGAAGTTCTCAGCTAGAAGTAAGAAGTTTTGGATGGCATCTTTGATAGACTTACTGCAACTTCCAATCAGCAATCTAGACAATGGAAGGAAAATGCGAGCAAAACCCAATTGTGTGATAATGGAAAGTCTTCCATCGGCACTTTCCTAATTTTGGAGAAACGGCAGCAGCACAGACAGTGGAGACCAGAAGAGCAGAAATGCAGCATTATCTTTCAGACGGGGGGATGCTAACTGGGAGGGCGTGGCGATAAATTTCACTGCAATACCTTTCACTGTCTCTGAACCTTCAGAAACAAAACTACCATGAATAAATTGCAAAAGTATGTACTTGTCTCGTAAATGGAGGACCAAAAGCAATCAACGAATACAAGTCATCATCTCTTGAGGACTAATTTAATTACGGGGAATAGGGGAAAAAAAAAACCATATGGAATCAGATTTGGCAAACTGAGTAGGGGACCAATCTGAGCAAAACAATTTTCGTCATAAACAAAGTTGTGCTCCGCCAATGGCTGAGAAAAACATGAATAATGTCCAGAAAAATGGACACTTGCTTCCTGCATGGGCCCCTCTTTGTCAAACAAATTTTGAATGATGTCTTTTTGAAAAAAATTAAACTTTCTCCTTTTTGAAAACTTAAGTATAGATGGTATACATCAGTTATACTAGATTCAGGTTGAACTTTTCTTTCCTAAATAAATGGAACGATTTAACTCATACTTGATGGCCAGTGAGCACCACGACACATCACTGTCATCATGTGCTCACACAGGGCCACGCCAAGGCCTCCTGGGATGCGCACAGCAGCCCACCCGCACGTTGGCCCAACACTTGGTACTTTGCTGCACTTGACCCCGTGTCTACTGTTTAAGTTTTCTCTTTGTTCCTGGACAGCAGGTTGTGATCACTGCCAGCTA